TATCGCCGGGACTCTGGGTGTCGGCATGGGCCCTACTAACTCTACCACCCCCAGAATTACGGTTTAGGGTCGGAGAGACACTCCCGCTATCGCGGATCGGTCTGTCTGGGTTCGGAGAAATGCTCTCGCTACCGCGGATTGTCCTTTCCCCCCTCGATTGCCGATTCCGGATATCAGATCCCCTATCGGGGACGGCAGCAGGCCTCGGGCTCCTGTTTCTACCTACATCCCGGTTTGGAGAAACTGAAATGTCCCCCCTTGCGCGCGCGCGGGGGCCGTCCCTCACGCGTCCCGGCGGGGAATGTGACCTGTCAGGCAGTTCCCGGGCTCTCCTGCTTCTGCTGTCTGCCCTCTCCCTATCGGGATGAATGGGATGCCTGTCCGCACGAGAAGGATCGACCCTATCGGGCACAGTCGGCAACGCTTGACCGGACAAGCCAACACCCCCACCCGGCCTTGCTGGAAGATCAGTACCCCGACCATTTCCCTCACCAGGGGTGGGTGTCGGTGACCTGATTCTGTGTCCCTGTCCAGCAAATGCGTTGTACCCAGGGTTCCGCCTCTCTCTAGGCGCTTGAGGGCTCTCATTAATCTGCTGGACACCCTGAATAATGCCAGCAGCTTCCTCAACATGACCCTCCATATCATAAAGCTGGGCCATGATTCTGTTGTTCATTCCATTCGGAGTACGCATGTTACTCTCAACAGTAGTGATCCTCCGCATCGAGGCTTCCTGCGAGTTGCGAAATGAATCCAGCTCGCGCCTAACGGCGGACCGTGCTTGATCACTACTCGCCGGGAGGTTACGAATCTGTCTCCTGATATCATCAAGAACTTGATTTAGAATTCCCGAGCTCGCCTCGTACTGCTCAACACGGGACTTCACGGTCTCAAACCTCGCAATGACATCGTCATGATCCCGACGTTGACGTTGAACTCCGCGAGATAGATCCTGGATCTTCTGATTGACCTCGTCAATTGCTTCATGCCAGTCCTGCGGGGAATCAGGCCCTGACGGTCTATCGACCGCCTGGGATCCCCTTCCGCTTTGCAGCCTCGACATTCGATCGGCAAGGATAATCTGTTCCTCATTGATGCCACCAATAGATTCGGAGGCCCACTTAGCAAACTTCTCATGTTCAGCAAGGATCTTCTCGAGCCTCAGGTTTAGTTCCCTGAAATTCGCGTCCGCCCCACTGCTGGCAGCCCTATCGGGCAATTGCGCAGTCAGATCACCTGCCGGCGTCCGCATCCCAACGGCTTTCTCTATCTTGAAGAGTCGCGTCTCGATCTTGTCCAAGTCTTTAAGGATCTCATCCTCAGAGGCAGCATGACTCCTGCGGATGGCCTGATGATTTTCCTGAATGACCTGACGAAGTTGGCTAGTTGCGATTTCATTTTCCTTAACGGATTCATGAACTTCGTGGGAAAGCAGGTTGACCCTCTGATCCACAATCTCAGCCTGTTCGTCGATGGCTTGCCTCACAATGGCCTTGCTATCAGGGATAACTTCGCTGGCAAACCGCTGAACTATCATTCGCATCCTATCGGCATCAGACTGAGTCGCAATCTCAGTAGCCAAACGACTGACCCTGTCCTTTGTCTGCTGATTCTCGTCGCTCCACTCCCTTCGCATGGAACCCACCTGACCGTTCAGTAACCTGATTTGGTCAGCAAAGATATGGAACGCCTTCGCGACTGAACCAGACACCTCACCTCTCTCGAGCATCTCCTGGATGTGCAAATCAAACACCTCAATTGCCCTAGCGTCACCTGACTCACCGGAAGAATGGGATCTGTGGGCCGGAGGAGTCGATATCTCGATCCTCTCAGGAGCCCCACTAGCTCTGGCATATCTTCTGGGGTCGCCTACAGGACAATCATCAATCCTGGATGGCCTACTCGGGGTTGATCCCCTTCTCCGGCTATTGCCAGATCGGGGATCAACATTAGATGCACGAGACTCAGGAGTAGAGTGGATATGAACATCAGCAGGGTCGAACATTTCCTCATCCTGCTGGGTTGAACCTAACGGTGAAGGGCTAGCCCTCCTCGCCTTTGACCTATCGGTCTCAATGGCCAGGGGTGACGGCCTCTTCGAGGAAGCACTACGTTCCCTGGCGGTCGAACCCCATTGAGGTGTGAACTCGTTGCTAGACCTTAGCGTTTCAAGGTCGCTGGGATCTCGCCCTAACGGGCTAGCGATCGACGGACGATCTTCGATTCCAAGTGCATCGGCAAGCCGACCATCTCTGGCACCTGTCCCAACGACATCGGCAGCCCGATCAGTGATCCTCGGCGAACCAGTAATCCGGTTCGAGTTCTTGTCTCTCTGATTCAACGGACCTCCAAATGTAATGTTGGGAAAAGGGGGAACATTCGGGGTATCACCAATCACTGGGGGACCTATCGGTCCCTCCCGGTCATGGATAGCCTCCAATCCCCGAAGAACTTCCCGACTATCCCTGGCTCTCTCTCTCTCTCGCTTCGGGCGTCCCTGTCAACACGAAGGTCCCTGGCGGCTCCACGAGAGAGGCTCCTGGGCCTCGCAGCAGCACGGATCCTAGCATTTCGGCGTGATTGGTCCTCTTCCTCATCACGACGATCCGCAAATGCGGCATACTCATCATCATCATTGAACTCAAACTTGGCCTTGCAGCAGCACGGTTGCCCGCATTTCGGCGCGAATGGTCCTCCTCCTCATCCGCAAAATTGTAATCTTCGCCATTATCAAACTCAGACTTGGCAGTATTAGGGTTGGGCCTATCGGCATCAGACCCCTGCTTTGAGCTACTGCCCCAGCCTGCGGCTGATTTCAACAGAGCATCGTATCCGAAGCCTGTGAATTTCCGCTCCTCGTGCTCATCAAACTGACCTGGATTTTGAGAACCAGTGGATCGACCCGAGATATCTCTCGGAGCCAAAACCATAGTCCCTGGTCCCTGCGGCCTGTCCTCAAACGCATCCGAGACCTGCGATTCACCTGGAATGAGAGATCTCGGGGTTCGGGTCGGCATGGCCTCCGGGTCGTCCGAATGAGGGCGGGCCATGTTCATCGCCATGCTGATGAAGTCGAACTGTCCGCGCCTGCGACCTGACTCAGAGCCGCTCCTATCGGAGCGAACTCTTTGTGCCTGCTCGTCATCAGTGGCCTGACGGAAAATACGATCGTCTCCATCGTCGGTGTACCTGCCACGGCTCCTGGGTGTGTCCCTACCGGGATCTTCACCCCTGCGGTCCTGACCTGTCGAACCTGCTTCGAAATCCTCGTAGTCATAGTCCGGTAGGTCCTCACCTGAGCGGAGGCCCCCTAGGATGGCCTCCTCATCCACGACACTCCTGTGTGATCGTGGGGTCGACATAGAGCTTGTAGTTGATGGTCTCAAGCGCGTAGGAAAGTCCTACGGCTGATAACCTGTGATTCGGGCACGAGCCTGTGCCCAGGCAATGGGTTAGTTGGGGTAAACAAGCCACAAAAGAAAGGTTCCCCAAAAGCAAACCAATCCCCGGTCCCAAAGATCAGGGTTTCCCACACACCAGAGAACAACAACCAAAAGGGAAAATAACCAAATAAGAAAAGGGTTACCCGCAACCTTGACCGACAACAGGCCGCACGAATGGTCCCTACCAACCTGACGGCGGCCCGAGGTCTCTTTCTCCCCCGAGATGTCGTCGGTCGACGCAGGGGCTCGGCGACGCCCATTCGAGGCGCGACGGAACCCATAAATCTTGAGCCAAACACCACCGGTCAGTCACTATCGCGACATCCCTGGTGATGGTTTAAGACATGGCTAATCACACATACATTACACACATTACATTACATACATTACATACATTACATACATTACATACATTACATACACTACATACATGCATGCATACATTACATACATTACATTACATTACATTACATTACATTACATTACATTACATTACATTACATTACATTACATTACATTACATTACATTACATTACATTACATTACATTACATACATTACATACATTACATACATGCATGCATGCATGCATGTATACATAACAAACAAACAAACAAACAAACAAACAAACAAACAAACAAACAAACAAACAAACAAACAAACAAACAACAAACAAACAAACAAGCAAGCAAACAAACAGACAAACAAACAAACAAACAAACAAACAAGCAAGCAAGCAAACAAACAAACAAACAAACAAACAAACAACAGAAGATCTAACCCCACTCAGGACCACCTGCAAAAAGTTGAGACACCTTCAGACCGAGCATGAGATTCAAAGCCTATGTGCTCTTTTCAGAAGGGGGGTCTGAGAGGTTGAAGCGTGTCCAGGGGATGCTCTTGTGGAAACCAAGAATTTTGAGGGGTGATTCCTTCGTTGCGGCCAACCCCAAACTTTCCGGGAATACTGGCTTGGTGTCGCTGCCCTGAGGGATGCCATTTCGGGGCTCGGCGAACAACCAGAACCGCAAAACGGGATTGAAACCTACAGGAGGTGGCTGAAAAATAATGTGACTATGTGCTTCAACAGGCGGCAGCTTGGCCCAAACCTTCCAAAGGAAACTCGAAAGGAGCTTGCTTTCCAGGCGTTGCCTTTCACCTCATATGGCCGCACTCCCAACCGAAATTCTACTTCAATTGATCTGAGAACCGGAAACCCTCTGAGTGAAGGGAAACTCCAGTACTAAGGCCAGAGAAAGCTCCCTCTCGCCAAATATGCGAGAGGCATGGTGCAGCCAGTGGCTAGACTCAACAAGCCAACCTCCTGTCCGATTTGGGGGGGGCACTTCGGCTTCCTCTCCAAAACGTTGATCCGTTTACTGGGCTCCGTTGAACAGATCGCCACGTTTTGGAGGTATCCCCAAGAAAAGGAAACTTGAAAAGGACCTCTTCCGACTTTCCCACACAAAATGTGGGCGGACTGCTTGTCGAAAGGGGAAATTGAACAGGAGCCCTCGTGAGAAGGATCCGATTTTTCCCCACACGAACACCCGGGTTCTCAAGCACCCACTCGGCCGCTCGCTCGCGTTTCCGGGTTTCCCCGGCAGTATCCGCAGACGTGGGGCCGCGAGAGGTGGGCCTTCGAATCCTCCGAGCCCGGAAATGGGCCGGAAGTCGGCCCAAAGGGCAAAACTGAAACGTGGTTGGACCTCCAAAAGCGACAGTTTCAATTGGAACCCAGCAGTGACCCTGGCCAAAAAAGGGAAGTCTAGCAGACAAAAAGGGGGATTCAAGGGGGGTTTAACTAAGCCGCAAGCACATTCAAAAGGCCCCGAATCTACTCGACCACTGGGTGTTTGATGGTTTTCTGGATTCCTTTGTGAGAACACGTGACAATGTGATGCAACTCCTCACCATGGTGACTTCAAAGAAGACCACCCCCCAAAGACATTTCGAGAACCTGCGCCCTCAACATGCGGCACAAAGAGACGGCAACTGGTCGACTCCTTGGCAGGGTAGAGCTCCCCCAAAGCCGCCTCCAACAGCGTGCTCTTCCTGAAGCGAGCGAGGCTCGGTGGAGGCGAAATCCGCTTACGAGTTGATAGGCGGCGTGCCCCACTCATCATAGGGCGTCATGGTGCGGGAGTAAAGGAAGTAGATGATTGGGACCAGGTTGGGTGGGGATTTCCTAAGATGGAAGAACCACCTTGGGTGGCAGGATGCCCGGGCCCCCAATGACAAAAGCCCTGAGTTGCCAGGAAAAGCCACCACGTGGCGTCTAAGTTCGGAATAGGCCAGCCCTTGGAAACCCCCGGGACCACGTCTCCTCCCAGAAAAAAACATCGCACGAAACTCCCAGGGCCCCCCTCCCCCAAGGCCCCAAGTCCCACGTTTCATCTGGGCCTGCCGGGTTGGGCTGGGTGTCGTTTCTAACGTCGGAGCTTCCACCTGAAAAGCCAAAGCCAAGTTCTGCATCCTCCTTGAAGGAAGAGGGTGTCCGGGTGGCCAGCTTCATCCTGCAGAAAAACCAAAACCGATTTGTGGGCATCCGCGGCATCGCCCCCAATTCCCTGGGATCTGCCATCCTCTACCCTTCCAGCCACGGACCCAGTCCCAGTTTTCTGTTGGATGGGAATGTTTCCACTCAGGAGACTGAGTCCCCTGTTGTGAGCAGAAAATTTGGTGAGCTCCCGCATAGACTGAAATTATGATCGAATCTCAGATGGACAAAACAGATTGAAGTTCCCGCATCAGGATTCCTTAAAGACTACATCCAACATACCACCTGATCTGCAAGAGAATCCTCTAAATCAGCTGGAAGAAGCTGCGTTTGCCGGGGAGGGGGGAAGGGGGGGGGGGGGAGGGCTGCGGCCAAAGCACCCACAGCCAACGCCCCCCACAATCGCCACCATCTCCTTGGTGCTTTGGGCGGTCGAGACCCGGCGCGAGCCCAATGCGGGATTGATTCCGCGTAGGGAATACACCAGCAAAAGAAAGAAGTTGCGTTGTGCATCTAAATATGTATATATATATATATATTAATAGGCTAGGCACCTTGGACACACCACGCAAACAACAAAGTTTAGGGCTCCCGTCTCTCTCTCTCTCTCTCTCTCTCTCGCACCTTATGATTGGAGTTGCTCTAAACCTTTGTTTGCCCAGCCTTGATTGTGGCTCCCCCCAGAGAAGATTTGTTCAAAACCCTGCCAAGAACCCTAAGATCAGCTTTCCTACTTGGTGGTTTGGGTTGGTGGTTGGGATGGTTCGGGGCAAGTTCCCTTGTTTATTCTCTACAAGAACCAGAACTTCAAATCCAACTCCAGTTCCCACCAATCCAAACCACACTTGGGGCCTACCTGATCACAAGGCTTGCACTTAACCAGGTTCCAAGAACGGGTCCCAAGGCTTCCCTGAAACGAGGCGAGAATCCGTGCGCTGGAATCCAACCTCAGCCTCTGGCCGGGCACCCCGAAGCGCAGCTCCGATGCAAACCCAGCGTACGACCCCTTGGGAGAAACAAAAAAGCCAAGTGGTGTACAGAGTCGGTAAAAACCTGTTAAAACCCCTGTTGCAGATTCTCAAAAAAATAAGGCCCCCGTTAAAGCCATCAGGAGAAAAAGTGTTCTGGAGCAAATGGAAGAAGGTTGACTTAGTCGGGGTTGGGGATGCTGGAGGGAAAGCAGGATGGTATGAAACCAAAAAGCCTCACAGCTGGCGTTCAGGTCAGGAGTTCTCAGCTCGGCTTCGCTTGCTTTCAGGTTGCTTTCAGGTTGCTTTCGGGTTGAGGGACCATCCGACAACCCCGCCACGGGTCAGGAACACTTGCCCTTGTGTTTTAGTCGCCGCCCTACAGAGGGTGTCTCGATCCGGACTCCGGATTCCGAAAAAGCCCCCAGCTTCTATATCAAGGCGCCAAATAAAGAAAAAAAGAAAAAAACGGGGGTTACCCTTCCAGCCTTCAAGGATAAAATTATGTTCTTCCACTTTGATTTCACCCTCAAGGCTCCGACCTTCACTCCGCCCCGCCTAACTGCCTGCGAGCGGCTTTTGGCTTCACCTCCATGGAGATCTCGTGCAGCACCTGGGCGCGGTGCCGCGGACGTGCGGTTGGGCCTATGTTGGGCCTGGCCGAGGTAGGGCCTAAATACGTAGAACTGAGTTCTAGGCTTTGGGGTAGATTCAAACTACGTTTAGCTATGACCATAGGGGTCATGCTTTGAGTGATATGATTCAGCCCCTATACTATTCGTTGACGCTTTGGGGGGGGGATGGATGAGTTTTGGGGTCACCTGTGCCTTTTGTTCGAGAGATCCCTCCACAACGGGGAAGGATCGACGTGAAAGCCAAAGACCAAGCTGGAAGCGAACCGGCTTAGATAAACCTCATGAAGTCTCAGCATGTGTTGGTGCGCATCGGAAGGAATACCCTCCCACTAACTAACATGGAACCGGACCCGATCCCTTTGAAAGGAAGATGGCCCGGTCCAAACCAGGACACCCAAACGTCCGGTTCCATGTAAAAAGGGTGGGAGGGTAGCTGTCGTCACAAGAGCAACGCACAAAGTTGTGGAAAAATATGTCAAAGGGAAATCAACATGCTGTGGGCTGCGAAACTGCCGCACACCATGTCTGCGGCTGATAAAGCATGAAAACCGTGTGCGACGCGCTTGACACAACATCAACGTCAGACAGAGAAGGAGAAAAAGAAAAGAAGAAGAAGCTCGACAGAGACGGAGACTTGCCTTTTTATCGCCCCTCGCCCTTCGCAGCCGCCGTCGTTCACGACGATCCGCGGAACTACAACGCTGACAAGAAGGACAGCTACCTCACACCCGCGGTACCTCAGACGCCTTCCGCGCCCGAGCCTTGCCCTAAGGAAGCCAAGGGCATGAGGCTGTGGTCCCTTTGACTTCAAGAAAAACAACCCCGTTTTTCCAGCTGGCCGCGAGGTTTTTCTTTGATTTTTGTCTTTTCCGATTGGTGGTTTGGTGATGAAATGGAGGGGTTTCCTATCTACCCTCTACAAGAGCCAGGGTTCAAATCCCCAAACCCCATCCAAACCACCAACTAAAGGTACCCTGAAGTGCCCTGCTCCTCGGAGAAACAAAAACTGTGTCGGTGATGTTTCGGACTCCAACTTGAGACTTCATCAAAACTTCCATTGACTCCTTCACCGTGATTGCACTGCGGTGTCTGCTCGCTGGTACTATACTGGAACAGATCACGGAGCAAAATATGGTGCCCCGTCCAAAACACACATGTCCGAATGGAACGAGGTTCACATCTGTGCCATTGATGATGCGATGTAATTCAGATGATATGTCTCTATAAACATATGAGGGCTCATATTATATGTACCGACCATTTTCCTCCGGGTCCTAGTATTGGTTTGGGGGGTGGCCCACATGAGGGGTTCACAAACAATAGCCTTTTCTGACCCAGTGTTCTTGTTGGTAACGCCCCCATGAGAGGGCACGTAAAAACCAGTGAATTTGGCCGTGCTGATATCTTGCCGTTGCGAAGGTGGGGGTTGGGGGGGCAGTGGTTGCAGTCATAGTGGGAGCCGTTCAAGACAGTGAGCCAAGGTCCAACATCTGCTTGCAGTTTTTCAGGTCACATTGCAGGGGGCCGCGTCAACCCCATCCCGTCCATCTCGTATCAATCTCGTGCCCCAGCGATCTGCATTTTGCAAGTTGGGCAAGACAATTCTAAAGCATTGTGCACGCAAGTTGTTTTCTTTTGCCAGTTGGACAGGACAATGCAGAAGCATTGAGCACGCAAGTCATTCTATGTTTGCAAGTTGGGCAAGACAACGCAGAAGCATTGCGCACTCACCGAGTTTTCTTTGTCGCGCGCAATGCTGGAAAACTCCACGCAACAGGTTTGACAATCCCGCAAACCAACGGTAAAACCCGCGCCCCCTGAGCGGGGGCGCATCCTTGCTTTTTTCCATTGTTTGAGGGTACCCTCTGCTTTGCCAAAATCAAAGCCGATGCCATGTTGGGGGTCCAAAGCAATAGACACCCCCATGGAATCGACGATAAAAAGGATCGTTCGGAGCCCCCATGAGCATTGATTTGGGTGCAAAGCAATCTGTTTTGCTACCAGCAACTTTCCTCTGGATCCGGGTATTGGCCTGGGGGTGGAAGCCATGGAGGTGTATCAAGAATGTCATTTTGGCAGATTTCCTTTCAGTTTCCCTGCCAACTAACCCCAACAATGGGTATCAAAAAAACACCTTGCCCTTCATCCATGCAGTCTGTAAGACGGGGAGCCCTTTTTATGCTCACCCAGCTTCCCACACTGGCCAAACTCTTTCCACCCACTGCAAAAAGGAGGCCCCACCACTAAACCCGCCGTTCCGTGCCCAAAACCCCAAAACCAGATACCGGGCCCAAAACCAACCAGAGGTCACGCCTTAAGCCCACAAGGTTTTGCCAGGGCGCCGTGGGCGCGTTGGGGTCTTGGCTCCACCTGAAGCTGCCGGACAGCTTGAAGACCGGCGCCTCCTTCCGCTGGCCTCGGAAAAATCCTTGGGGTCTCCCCATGACGCGAACGAAACCCAAAGCCTGGCTTTGTGTTTTCGTCTAAGGTCCCCAAACCCCTTCTCAAAACCCATGGAAATTAAAAACAGAATCAAGAGGGTCCATGGCAAAAAGAACCTAGAAGAGGGAGATGTGTCACGCTTCCTGGTATCGACCAAAAACGAACCTTGTCGCTCGCCACTCCAAAAAACAATTGCCTTCCCTAGGCGGGGTGCCAGCAAACCAGGCCGGTTGCTCAAACCATTTGCTCGAAACCCTGGCAAGATCCCCCCCCCCAAAAAAAAAAACAAACAAATGGGCCCACCGGCCCACCAACCAACCGAGTGGCTAGAGTCCTCGGCCCAGATGTCCACCCACCTTCGTCGAATGCTGGTTCGTCGGCTTTGTGCTGACTGGGTGAACATGACGGGTCCATTTGGGTGGCCAAAAAAAGGACCAGGAGCCAGGGTTACGCAGGTCTTGGTCTTCTCCATTTACCAGGGTGCCATTTTGGGTACCAGGTGTTGAGCCAGAGCCACTTAAAGGAAAACCAAGTCCTCCCATCGATCTCTCCATGACATCTAAGGATACTCCAAACGGTTCAAAAGTTGAAAGGATAGCCCGTCAAAAGTGGATCGCACAGATGCCAAAGGGCCAAGGAAGGCAGGCAAACCAGGGCCATCCATGTTTCTACAAAAACAACCACAAAGGACACCTACGGGTTTAAAGATCCTTGGTCTTCTTGTTGCAAAATCCTTGAGTTGTGCTTTTCCCAGTTTGGAAATAATACGTTCATCTTTTGGGACCTTGACTAAAAATGGGAACCCCTATTAAAACAGGAAACAAAACAAAAGGTCAAAAGATGCTGGGGCCTTCTGTCGCCGAAAAAACGAGAAACCAAGCCACTTTGGCACGGAGACGCCCGGCAGCACTGGGGCTTCCTCCAACCTGAGGTAGGTCTCGATGCGGGCCTCGCACGTTGAAAGGCAGCGACCCACATGGGCTTGCCTTAAAATTCGGGGGAACCCCAAAAAAAGGGAACCACCGAAAATGGTGGTTTCCCTTCTGGTTTCCCTTTTTGAACCAACCCCCAAAAGAAGCGCGCACACACACACAAATAGATTTCGGGGTTCGGGGTTCCTTCTGGTTAAAAAGGGAGCTCTAGCGAGCCCACATGGGAAGAGGGCTGGCGCTTTCTGGCCACCTCTCGTGGTGATTTTTGTGGTTGGACGGGAAGGCCAATACAATCCCTCCTCCGAAAAATCTGAGTCGCAATGAAAATTGGGTACTCATACCCTTCCACCAATTAACATGAAACCTGACAGGGGGGCCCCGGAAGACAATTTTCCATATAAAGTTACCAATTGGTGCGAGGGTATTCATTGGCCTACACAGAACCATGCAGGGAGTATTGCAAAGGCGGCGAAGGCACCCGTCTATGGCAAGGGGTTTCTCCCTTATGAACCTTTATCTACCCGCATGGGTTTTGAGGACGTGGCTCATGTGTTTTGGTGGGAGGGGGGTAGGCCTCGGCTGTGTCCTCGATGTCCAGTCCTTCGGAAGCGTTCCGGCATGGCTTCCCATTTAATATCAACCAGAACCAGGGCTCAAAGCCCTCAACCATCCAAACAGTTGTCCACGTCGCCCGAGCCCAGCAAAAAAACAATCCAAGCCCATAAAACCGGGGGGGTACCCGAGTTAAGGCAAACCCGGACAGTTTGAGGGGCTAAAGAACTACCAACCCTTTGAACGGCTTCAGCTTTCAAGCTCCCCACTACCCCAGTCGAAGCATTTAGGGTCTTGTGCCTGGTGCTGCCCAGGGTTTGCCTAAAATGCCCCGTCCGGTGCCACTGAACACCTCGGCTGGGTCAAGAACTCCAAGCACCGGGAAGTCCAACTTGGTTTGAACCAAACAGGGGGGACACATCAGAATACTTTGCACTTGCACAAGTCCCACCTTGCGGAAACCAACGGACTGCTTCTTGCAGCCCGACCTAAAGAGGAACAGAACCAAAACAGAAAAAACAACTGGATCCACCCCCCCATGACACCGACCAAGTTTAATTGGTGGTTTGGATTGGTGCGGGGTTTGGCCCCCGGTTCCCTTGGCCAAATAGACAAAGGGACGCCCGCAAGGTCCAAAGCTTGAGGGTAAGCTGCCTTTTGAACATGGACGAAACCTGCCTTTCGGGCGCAGTCCCTTTTGCAAGTGGGCGCTTGGCTACTTCTAAAGGGTCAAAGGCTGCTCCCGGGGGGTCGAGGCGGCTTGGGGGAACATAAAGTAAGCAGGCAAGGGATACAGGGCTCCTTAAAAGATACATTTTGCCAATTTGAAACATGGCTTTTTCCACCAAAACAAAGGGACACCGCCATTTACAAGGCAATGTTCAGGTGTAAAATGTAAGGATCCCTGATAGTTTATACAACTTCCGGATCATGCTAATTATTTCTAGACTCATCTCACACCGCACCACTCCTCCCGAAATTATATAAGTGCGGGGATTCCAAGTGTCACAGTCCATTACGTCCATTACAAAAGAAGGGCATGGGTCAATGCCACGCAGGTAACCCGGGCCCGACCCCACTGCGTCCGAAGGGCCGCGCTGATCCGCACGGTGACCAGGCGCTGCAGACCCCCGGACAAGACGGAGCTCTCTTGCCTGCAGCGAAGCCTAAGGACCTCCGTACGCTCAGAGCTGGTTCTCACTGGCCCGTTGTCACTTGCCCGTTGAACACCCAGAAATAGAAGGTTAGCCTTTGGGTTGCCATGACTAACAAATGGGAACCCTAAAAGGGGAAACTAACAGCCACCCCGTACCTATGATTTATACTGAAGTAGGCAGAAGATCCACTGTGGCAAGGGTTTTCACGGGTTCAACCACATTGAAACCAGAAAAGGACGGCGGCCACTACCCCGTTGCGAAAAGCAGACCGGGCAAGAAGCGTCACATGGAACCAAACCCCCCCATCAGCTTCCCGGCCAGAGTGAAAGCAAGAAGGGGGTAACTGGGAGGGGGGGTGACCGGAGTCCGGGGCCACCATTCCCATATGTTCGTCTGCTTTAGTGGGGATTGGGATGTTCACTGGGGGTACGATTTGGATTTTGACCCATGGCCAAATTGGCCAAGTCTCCTTGCACCACTGGCGCCTGCAGTGCGCGCAACCAAAACCCCTCCCCCATCCCCAGATCCCCAGATCCCCCGGCAACCGCTCCGGCGCCTCAGGGAGGCCAGGATCTGCAGACAGGCGAAGATGGAGGCCAGGTCGTGCCGGCCATACCTGGCCAGGGGTCAAAACCCAAATCCTACCAGTGAACATCCGATTCAATCCAACCGCTAAAATAGGCTCTAGAACGGGTGGTGAATTCGCCTACCCACCAAAATGGGAGGGATTTTTGGGGTCTCAGCCTTGGTTGGTTGGGTTGCGGGGGGGGAGGTCTGTCTGTTCATTGTTTGGCACTTATATTGGGGGGGGGGCTGCTCCGCAGACTTTCGGCACAAGAGGCTCGACGCAAGCAGAGGTTCTCAAAGCAACAGGTGTTCAAAGTGAATCACCCATTTGCTTTTTCGCCCCCTAGCAAAAATAAGTCTATTTCCAGTAGTGATAGATTCCCTTTAAAACCAAGAGAGGAAAATCCAGAATATGCTAAAATGGTTCAGCAAAAGGAGGGAATCCAAGCGGAAAGAAACCCTCCAGGTGGAGAGGTCACAAGCCGAATTCAATGGTCAGAGTCCCCAGGGTTGCTTGCTGAGATGGTCCTGGAAGCGCGCGATTTGGTCCCCAGTCAGCCTGACTGGAGCCTTCCAACGAGGCTTGCGGATCGCTTGCCCAGCTCCTAGACCCAAGCAAGCCTAAAACCGGGCACGAATAGGCATTTCAGGGGTCGGCTTTTTTTTTTCCCCAAGGCCAATGATGAACCACTACAGGGGTCGATGTTCACATGCTTTGATCACCACTTTCGGCAGTGTGGATTGTTTTTAAGGACTGATCGTCGCGGGTCGACCATCGGCTTTTCCAAAGGGGGCAAAGGAATCCCCTTCGCCACTTGCGACCACCAGACCGTGGCTTGGCCGAGCTTCAGGAACAGCGCGCAGCTGTTCCTCGTGAATTACGGGCGAAAAAGGGGCCCACCCCAAGCACCTGGAAAAAGATTCCAAGCGAAACACAACGAACCGTGTTTGTTCCCCCTGCAAATTAGCACCGTCAAAAGGGTTCCTATGAGCGCAGTTTGGGCATGTGTCAAAAAAAGGGACCCACAATATTGTAGTGGTTCCTTTTGGCTTTCCATTTCAACCGCCCCCCCAAACAAGGACACCCTCTCAGCTTCCCTCCAGTTGGCAGTTTGCCCTGGCAATTTGGTGGGTGAGCAGTGGTGTCCCATTTGCCCTCTACAAGAACCCGGGGTTCACATCCCCAAACCCATCCAAACCATCAACTCGTCAAAAAGCCGACCCTCGAAATCTCAGCGACCTCCCGCCCGCCCCCAAACCCCAACAAAACCTGCCAAGGGCGCAGGCGGATGAAGCCCCACAGCCCGGCGCAGGTCAGTAACCTCTCGACTTCGGCACGGTAAAATGATCAGCTCTGACTGGCGGAAGCTAAGGCGCCCCTTTGTCATTTGGGTGTGGCTCAAAATTAAAGAGCTAGGGTTACACGGTTTTAGTCTTTGTCTTCATTTGCCAGGGTTCCTTTTTGGGTACACATTTTTGACCCACTGCCATTTAGTGTTTCAAAAGGTACTGGGTCTGTATCACATGCATACATGTGCGCATGCATGAATGGAATGCATTTAAATTAAAAAATGTGAGACAGGGTTCAAAGCCCCCAATCGCCGATTTAAATCACCCACTGGTAGCCTATACTTGAGGAGCGGGTGAACGAAAGCTAGCAGTTGTTGCATGAGATGGGTCGGTGACAGTGTGGATTCATAGGTAGCTTGTGTGCAACGAGAGGCCCGGCAAGATTCGTAGGATGCGACACGCAAACGCACATGGTGGCGTGGCAAACCTTGAAAAATGAAAACAACGAGAGGCGTCAGAAGCTGTCTTAAAGCACCTCTGGGTTCTGCATGCTGCGTGTGCAAAGATTCTTGCGAGGTGGTTTACTGAGAAGACTGAGGTCTCAAATGAACAAGCTGAATCGGTGGAACATGTGCAAGTTCGTAGCACCAAGTCCAAAACGGGCAAACCGAGACTGCTGAAACACTGAGCCACTGCCCGGGGGGGGGGGGGAGAGGTGAGGCCCACTGCCCCAGGTGCCTATCCCAGAAGGGAACTGGTACCCTGTGGTAGTAGAGGTCGTTGTTGGTACCTGGATCTATTCCGGAGAGAATCCAATATGCCAATGTGGATGATTGGAGGATGGACTGTCCCTGGTGGATTGTCTTATAGATAATCCTGTAAGCAGCGGCCTGCAAAGGTTCTTCTGCCTCACGCGATCATTGATGATGCAATGATATACACAAAAGGGGCCTTGAGCCAAATGTTGCGGGAGATCAACTGGTCTGAGAAACAACCACAAAACAGACACAAATTTCTTTTGATCTCCAGCACTAAGTATGAAATACTATTGGCTTCATGGCCTTTGGCCGTAGCCTTTGATGTATGCCGTAGCCATGCTGTATGCCGTAGCCATGTGTATTAAAAATGCCGGATTCATCCTCTTTTCTGCTCGGATGAAATGTCTTGGCTTTCGAAATGGAAAACACTATGTACTGCTTCTTTTCGAGATACCTAGATGTATCAAAGGGTGATGTACAACGCTATGTACACGAGGGACGATTGTGAAACTATTGATCTCTCACTCATGGTATAGTCTTGTAGACGGCGAGGATGCGGGGTCCAGACTTGTTTCTTCTTGATGTATTCCTGGTATCTTTCAGCGCTGCGTTTACTGGTTGCAGATTTGCCGCGGATGTACACCATGAGAGGACTGTGAGAGTCGGAGTCCTGCGAGCCATGCATGTCATTGTTCACGTGCTTAAAGCGCTCTGCGGATGAGACCTGGTAGTCGAATATGGCCTTGGTTGGATGGTTCTGCATGAATTCCAGTTGTTCATCATCCATGCCGTTCATCTCGTCCTTCCGGAAACCCTGCTGGATGTTCGTTTTGCCCCATCCAAATACGAAAGTCATCATCACGTCTGGGAATGTTCGATCATATCCTGATCCACACTTCATGTACAGGTGATGACGGATACTGGATTTTAGGGTGCACGAAGTCTCCATTGCATACTCCATTCTGTCCATGAGTGGCAAATCTTTCGTTTCATTCCACAGTCTCTGATTTTCTCTCATGAGGATGTTCACAAGACCGTTGGCCGGATTGAAGACGTGCTGGAGTTTGCTGTAGGTGTTCGCTGATTTGTTGGCGTCTCCGGTGATCGCATCGCATCGGTACAAAGTCACGAGCGGCATGATTTCATTTTGAAGATCTTCCCTTGCTGCTCCATGGCTAATTGAAGGATGGATGTGGAAAACTCCAATGGTAGCGAATGGGAGATCTGCCCTCGTTATGTGGCGGTCGTCATACTCATGGAGTGACTTGTTGGATGATTTCGGGAGCATGCCACGAAACTCATCACTCTGCTCGATGTGGAGAACGACGATCTCCTTGTCTCGGCCATGTCCTTGGACAATGGTGCGTGTTGGCAATCTCGGTCCAATGTACTTCTTGGATTCAGAAAACATGGATGGTCCTGTAGTTGCCAAGCAGTCCGAGGTCGGAATTTCGTATTCGGGATCAGTGCAACTTCCTTCAGTTCCGAAGAAACATCTGAACATTCCGAATGTGGTTCCCCAATTCTTGCTCTTGGTGGAATGTGTCTTGCCAGAAGTTCCACTCTTGCAGAAGGTCCGCCACGGACAGAGCATGCGATCGGTCTGGATGACCACTGCTTGATCACGATGCCCTTGTAACCGTATCGAATGAACGTCTTGATGAGCTCCCTGGATTTCTCATCATTAGGACTGAAGAATGCGTCTGCTTCAGTCAGGCATAAGATCTGTGCACTGTTCTGCATCATCATCTTTACGATCGGTCGATCCTTCATCGGCATGTTGTGCACCTCCCTGTTGTCCAGCTTTGGATTCCTCGTGAGGTTTCCATGGTTCAGGGTAAGCATGTTGATTGCTATGGATGAGGTGAACTCATGCATGTTGAGATAGTCCACAGGAGGACGGTCGGTCGGCTGCATCAGCGATCCCAGGATATCGGCATAGGCTCGGATGATTTTCGGGTCGTCATGTGACCTGAGCTTCTTCAATCCAAGAAGAAGCTTGATCGGATATCCGGATCCTGGTTGAGCTTGCTTGTACTCGTCAATGGTGGGACATTCTCCTCGATGAGGGAAGTAGAATTCTTCTTCTCCAAGATTGACATCGGGATCGACATGTGCCAATGAGGCTCTCTCGCACTCTGTCAAGTTGGGATGAGCCCTTCTTGGATCTTTGTTGAACTTGTCCATGAAGCGGGAAAGGTTAGCCTTGGTCTCCGCGAGCTCTTCCTCTGCGTCCTTTTTGTTCAAATCTGTTTCGAGATAGATTCCCTTGAGTTCTTGGATGAGCTCATCTAGGTTCTCTGAATTGTGATATTCCACGGTGACTTTTGGCTTGACGGATCTTTCCCCGGAGGGTTCCATCGTGTCTTCTTCAGCTTCGTCCTGATCGGTGGAATGCCGTCTCTTCTTGGTCTCTGAGGAAGTATATTTTCCTTGCTGTGCTTGGTGGAATTCACATAATTGAAGAAGGCATCGGCAAATTCGCGGATCTTGGTGTCGTACATCTCGTAATCTTCATGCCTGAGATGCTTCTTCATGATCCACTTGTTGCTCGCCATGAGGCTGCCATCAGGTTCAAATGCTGCAACAATGTTCCTTGCCTCGATGGTTTTGTCTGTCAATGCTGTTCGCTCTTCGGAGAGTCGGATGCCATAGTCATGGTCCTTGAGGAATGCAAGGATCAACAGTGCATCTCTTCCTGCTGGCACATGGGTCAATGCGGCTTCTGACTCATCGTCGTCAAGGATGACGTCATCGATGCATGCCATGTGGACGTGCATTCTCCCCGAAGGGTTTGACTGGGATTTCCCAGATTTGAGCCCGTGCTCCGAAGAGCTGATTTCCATAGGTTGCATGGAACATGAATGTGATGGGCTTCTTCGCGAACGGCTTGATTTTTCTCCCTTCTTCAATGGATGGTGGTGCCGGCCTTCGCATTCTGTACTTGGGCTGAGCTGTGCCTTCATCTTCATGAGGCGCCTCGGATCTTGACGGATGCGGACTTGGCGGAATAGATTCCGTTGGTAGATCATAGTCCGGTTCGTCGTGATGAGGCTCTTTCTGCTGCTCAGAGTACAGGGGTCGTCCAAAGGATTGGGTCTCGACTTGTCGTGTGTGTCCGCTGTTGCATCTCACATAGAACTCCATCTCTGGATCGACATAGAATTCATTGCCATCGGGCCTGAGTGCATTTTGTGCGGATCTCGTGGTGAGCTTGTCGATCCATCGATTCCTTGGAACAATTTCTCCCCGTGCCTTGCGCTCCTTATATGTCCCGTCCACGGATGGAAATACGAATGCAATTTCGAAACGTGATTTTCCATAGCTCGGGAACATAGCCATCAAGAGAAGTCCTGGCTTATTTCCCATGAAGTTCCTGGCATGGGTGATGCAGGTCAATGCGTCATAGAGCTCGACGGATCCATCAGGACCCATGTCCACTGGTCGTTTGCATTCCTTATGGGTTCCATGCCTTGGATCATGTCGAAGACATCCGGAAAGTGATCTGCTCATTCTCTCAATTCGCCAGAGGATGAGATCTGTGATCTGTTTCGCCTTGGATGGATCCATGCGGAAGTATTTGCAAACCTGTTCGACATTCTGGACGGTCTTCTCGAGATCAATGTTGCCGTTGTGGCATACCATCGGGATGATGTCGGTTCCGTAAACTTCGGATTGAGCATTGGTGTAGCAGCAGATGCTGTAGACCTTCTTGATGAAGTCCATGTGTTGCTTCTCCGCATGAGGTCCTTCACCTTGGAGTGTTGGATGCCAGTAATCGTTGAATCTGGCCTTCAACCACAATACCTTAACTCCATGTGGTCTCTCATGCTCAGGAACGAAGTGGAAATCCGGATTGACATCAAGGATGGTTGAGCATTCCCTGTAGTACTCGTACACAAAATTCAGGAATTTTGAGTTTCCGAAAGGTGCTGGGTGTACGGATTCCTTCTGGAGGCTGATGTTTGTATCCGATCCATATGTTACAAACCACCGATCATTGGATGTGAGAACAGGCCGCATCACTGGTCGCCTTGGAAGCGCAGGTCGATCACCAGGATGATTGTCGGATTCTGTCTCTTCATCCAGGATGTTCTTTGGTGCTGGCTTGACCTTGGAGACAAGCCTCAATGCTGGTGGCGGTGACTTTGGAACAAGTTTCGGATGCGGCATCGCCTTTGACGTAGGCCTTCCTGCGGGAGGATGCCCTTCTTCATCTGAATCATCGTCGTCGGAATCTGGATCATAATCAACCTGCTCCATGTTGACATTCT